ATGATCAAGATTATCTATAAACAATATTTGAATCTTCTCTGAATTATTTTATGTATTATTGGTTATCTTTGCAAGTCTCTTCGAATTATCAGTTTGGTTTGGCCTACTAGGTTGATCTTTCTTGCAATGGGAGAAGTGCTTAGCTTTGGGTTCAATCTTGCGGTGCTTGATCCCAGTGACAGTAGGGCAAACGACACGTATTGTAGCATTGCCATCGAGGATAAGAAGATGGGGTTTATATCATATTGCATGAGTTTATCCCTCTAGATCATGTCATCTTGCTCAAAGCGTTACTCCATTCTTATGAACTTAATACTCTAGATGCATGCTGGATAGCGGTCAATGTGTGGAGTAATAGTAGTAGATGTAGGCAGGAGTTGGTCTACTTGTCACGGACGTGGTGCCTATATACATGATCATACCTAGATATTCTCATAACTATGCTCAATTCTATCAATTGCTCGACAGTAATTTGTTTACCCACCGTAATACTTATGCTCTCTTGAGAGAAGCCACTAGTGAAACCTATGGCCCCCGGGTCTATTTTCCATCATATTAATCTCCCGTCAACAAGCTATTTCTTGAGTCGTTTATTTTGCTTTCTTTACTTTTAGTCTTTATCATAAAAATAATAAAAATATTATCTTATCTTCTCTATCAGATCTCACTTTTGCAAGTGGCCGTGAAGGGATTGACAACCCCTTTATCGCGTTGGTTGCAAGGTTCTTATTTCTTTGTGTAGGTGCAAGGGACTTCAGCGTGGCCTCCTACTGGATTGATATATTGGTTCTCCAAAACTGAGGGAAATACTTACGCTACTTTGCTGCATCACCCTTTCCTCTTCAAGGGAAAACCAATGCAATGCTCAAGAGGTAGCAAGAAGGATTTCTCGCGTCATTGCCGGGGAGTCTATGCACAAGTCAAGACATACCAAGTACCCATCACAAACTATTATCCCTCGCATTACATTATTTTCCATTTGCCTCTCGTTTTCCTCTCCCCCACTTCACCCTTGCCGTTTTATTCGCCCTCTTTCCTTTCCCTCTTTTCTCGTGTTTCTTGAGTTTGCTGCAGTTATGTCTGAATCTGAGGAGGTTATCGTTGATAAGAGCGTTAATAATAACATGGAAAATTTTGATGCTTTCAATGATCCTCCTGAGGAACCTACTATCTTGCATACAAAAAAGTTTCGAGTCGGTAGTGGTAATATTATTGGGAATGAAGTTATTCAAGATTTCTTTACTTGTGCCAGTACTTTTCCCATTATGGGTGGTTCTATTCTTCATAGAACTAGTAGTCTTGTGGATGCAATATCCTTGCTCATAGTTAAACTTGAAAGGCAATTTCTTCATATGCATCCTTGCATACAAAGAACTTCCCTAGAATTTTCTAATATTGAGTACTCTTCTGTTAAGCGTGCCACTACTATCTTTTTGGCTCATGAGTTCAGATTTATAATGAAAGAAGCTAAAGAAATTTTTGCACATTATAGGGTGGATGTTGGTCATCCTCCCATAGAAGTTATCCTTTTTAATCAAGAAGACTTAATGCGTTTACAATCTTTGGATCATGTTGCTTATAATGAAAACCTTAGGAAAAAGGTTCCTACCGATGTTCTAGTTGATAGAATTTCTGAAGTTAATGATGATTTTGCTATTCAGAATAATGGGTTAGGTTTTTCTCTTGGGCAAAGACTCATGACTTTTTTTCAAAAGAACGCTTGTAATGATGAATTGGTTGTGCAATATAAGGGGCCAAGGGAGGAACCCATACCTCCCGAGCTTGATCTTGGGGACTTTTGTCCTATTAAATTTAACCCCTTTGATTACTTTTTCTTGCCACAAAGGAAACTTGCTGCTGAACGTAGAGAATACAAAAGGAGTTTTCAATATTTACCTTACCATTATTATGGCAACACCTAGATCTTTCTTCACTTTTATGCCTAGCTAGGGGAGTTAAATGATAGCGCTTGTTGGGAGGCAACCCAATTTTACTTTTGTTTCTTGCTTTTTGATTCTGTTTAGTAATAAATAATTCATCTAGCCTCTGTTTAGATGTGGTTTTTTTCTTTTAATTAGTGTTTGTGCCAAGTAGAACCTTTGGGGAGACTTGGGGAAAGTCTTTGCGATCTTGCTGTAAAAAGTAGAAACTTTAGCGCTAGCGAGAATTGCTGCCATGTTTTATTGGAGAGTGTTATTTAGTTAACTATTTTTGCATATGATTAATAGATAAATTCCTCACATTCATAAATATATTTAAGAATTTTTGGGGTTCCAGAAGTATTCGAAACCTACAGATTACTACAGACTGTTCTATTTTTGACAGATTCTATTTTTCGTGTGTTGTTTGCTTATTTTGATGAATCTATGGCTAGTAATAGAGTTTATGAGCCATATAGAAGTTGGAATAAAGTAGGTTTAACACCAATATAAATAAAGAATGAGTTCATTACAGTACCTTGAAGTGGTGGTTTGTTTCCTTTTACTAACTGAGCTCACGAGATTTTCTTTTAAGTTTTGTGTTGTGAAGTTTTCAAGTTTTGGGTAAAGATTTGATGGATAACGGAACAAGGATTGGCAAGATCCTAAGCTTGGGGATGCCCAAGGCACCCCAAGGTAAAATCCAAGGACAACCAAAAGCTTAAGCTTGGGGATGCCCCGGAAGGCATCCCCTCTTTCGTCTTTGTCTATCGGTAACTTTACTTGGGGCTATATTTTTATTCACCACATGATATGTGTTTTGCTTGGAGCGTCTTGTATGATTTGAGTCTTTGAGTTTTAGTTTATCACTATCATCCTCGTTGTAACACCTTTTGAGAGAGAGACACATGATTCGAAATTTGTTAGAATGCTCTATGTGCTTCACTTATATCTTTTGAGCTATATAGTTTTTGCTCTAGTGCTTCACTTATATCTTTTAGAGCACGGTGGTGGTTTTATTTTATAGAAATTATTGATCTCTCATGCTTCACTCATATTGGTTTTAGAGTCTTAAACAGCATGGTAATTTGCTTTAATTGAGAAATTAATCCGAATGTGATAGGTATCTAAGATGAGCATAATAAAAACTTCCATATTGAGTTCATTGAATATCATGAGAAGTTTGATACTTGATAAGTGTTTTGAGATATAAATGTGGTAATATTAGAGTGTGCTAGTTGAGTAATTGTGAAATTGAGAAATACTTGTGTTAAGATTGGCAAGTCCCATAGCATGCACGTATGGTAAAAGTTGTGTGACAATTTTGACACATAAGGTGTTCTTTTGTTGCTTTCCTAATGAGTGGCGGTCAGGGACGAGCGATGGTCTTTTCATACCAATCTATCCCTCTAGGGGCATGCGTAGTAGTACTTCGCTTTGTGGGCTAATAAGCTTTTGCAATAAGTATATGAGTTCTTTATGACTAATGTGAGTCCATGGATTCTACGCACTCTCAACCTTCCACAATTTTGTAGCCTCTACGGTACCATGCATTGCCCTTTCTCGCCTTGAGAGTTGGTGCAAACTTCGCTGGTGCATCCAAACCCCGTGATATTATACGCTCTATCACACATAAACCTCCTTATATCTTCCTCAAAACAACCACCATACCTACCTATCATGGCATTTCCATAGCCATTCTGAGATATATTGCGATGCAACTTTCCACCATTCCGTTTATTATGACACGCTCCATCATTGTCATATTGCTTTGCATAATCATGTAGTTGACATTGTATTTGTGATAAAGCCACCATTCATAATTTTTCATACATATCACTCTTGATTCATTGCATACCCCGGTACACCGCCGGAGGCATTCACATAGATTCATATTTTGTTCTAAGTATTGAGTTGTAATTCTTGAGTTGTAAGTAATAAAAGTGTGATGATCATCATTATTAGAGGATTGTCCCATGTGAGGAAAGGATGATGGAGACTATAATTCCCCCACGAGTCGGGATGAGACTCTGGACTAAATAAATAAATAAAAAGAGGCTGAAAAAAGAGAAGGCCCAAGAAAAAAGGAGAGAAAAAGAGAGAAGGGACAATGTTACTATCCTTTTTCCACACTTGTGCTTCAATGTAGCACCGTGATCTTCATGATAGAGAGTCTCCTATGTTGTCACTTCCATATACTAGTGGGAATTTTTCATTACAGAACTTGGCTTGTATATTCCAATGATGGGCTTCCTCAAAATTCCCTAGGTCTTCATGAGAAAGCAAGTTGGATGCACACCCACTTAGTTTCTTTTGTTGAGCTTTCATATATTTATAGCTCTAGTGCATCCGTTGCATGGCAATCCCTACTCCTCTCATTGACATCAATTGATGAGCATCTCCATAGCCTATTGATTAGCCGCGTCAATGTGAGACTTTCTACCTTTTTGTCTTCTCATAACCCCTCTGTTGGAAAAGGCAGTGCCTAGGAGGTGCTTAGGCACGCCTAGGCGCTAGGCAATGGCCAAACTCCTCGCCTAGGGTATAAACAAAAGTCTAGGCAGAGCAAGTAAGAAATTGTCTACCCAAGTGAGAAATCATGCCATATTGCACTGATATGCCAAAAGGACCGTATTCCAATTGTAGTAGCTGGTAGTTAACATACTTATATGCCCTGAATTAATCTCTCCCTAATAATAAAGCACGGATTGAGTCTCCGGGTTCACCGTCGTGGTAGTTTTTCAAAAAAGCCCCTAATGTTTTCTGTATTCAACCCGTAGTCCCTATGTAAGTGGATCTGCAAAAATGTTTCGATTTTGCAAATTAACCCCTGTATTTTGCGCTGTGTTCTTCATCTTATCGACCGACTGGAAGGGGCGCATGCTCACCGACTACAGCCGCCGCGGGGACGCCGCGACCGCCATGGGAACCTTCGACTCGGCCGTCCCCGGCCCGGACGCGGCGCCCGACCTCTGCCTCGCCGCGCACCAGTACAACCAGCTCCTCCACCTGCTCGCCTCCGCGGACGGCGCCGTCTTCCCCATCCACCCGGCCGCCGCCGCGCGCCGCGTGTTCGCTGGCATGCTAGAGGCCAGGGCGCCCCTGTCCGAGGCCACCATCACCTCGCTCGCCTGCATCGTCGCTGCAGACGTCGAGAGCGCCTACATTGCCTTCAGGCTCCTCTCCTCCATGCGGCAGAAGTACGGCCTCGCGCTGTGCCTCCGGTCCTACAGCCCTGTGCTTGCCACGTTCCGGCGCGCCAGGGAGGCTGGCAAGGCATACGCGGTCGAGGCCCACATGGCGGCCTCCGCTGCATTACCATAAGATCCCGAGCTCGCGCCGCTCCTTGTGGTCAGCGCGAAGGCCAGGGACGCAGACAAGGCGTTTGAGTATATGCACAAGCTGGGTGCCATAGCCTGAAGGGATGCCGAGAAGTGCATCGAGCTAGATCCTACATTCTCCAAGGGATACATCAGGAAAGGCACAAACCAGTTTTTCATGAAAGAGTATGAGAAAGCAATGGAAACTTATCAGGAAGGCCTAAAGCATGACCTGAGTAACCAGGAGCTGCTTGATGGTGTAAAGAGGTAAATAGCACTGAAAGAGATCGTCAATCAGTCACTGATTTCTCATCTTAGATTCCACCAAGCAGCTCCTAACCGTTGCCGTCCGTTCTTAGATATATTCAGCAGATCAACAAGGCGAACAGAGGCAAACTTTACCCCAGAGGAACTGAAAGAGAGACAGGGCAAATCTATGCAGGACCCTGAAATCCAGAACATCCTGACGGACCATGTGATGCGGCAGGTAAGTTCATCATCAGATGTTTGTTTACTCCTCTTTCTTGAGCCAGAGGTTGGTTTGGCGAACGGTGCGATAACATTGAGGTGTTTGTTGTTTGCAGGTGTTGATTGATTTCCAGGAGAATCCAAGGGCTGCTCAGGACGTCTCGGGAGCATGAACGCAACGGCGGTCGGGCATGGGCATCATTGGGTTCAGTGATTGGAGACGTGGCCGTTCGTCCCCGATGGATCTCTGCCACCATGGCCTGAGAGAGCCTAGAGAAGGGAGGCTACGGACGAGCACCTGTAGGACGACCTGCCATCACGGACAGCGCTTTCGACTCCGACAACATCCATGTGGTCATAGTCGAATCCTCATGTCCTCTCGCGCCGTGTATATTCAGACTTATTTGCGTGCGCCGTAGGTTGTATGAACATGGAGGTGCAGTCACCCGAGGTGCAGAAGCTCCATCACCTACCTCTACCTCCTCCACTACGCTGACAAGTAAGCTAAGCCCCCATCATCTACATTGCTTCCTCCCTGCCTGTGATTTATTACTTCGAGCCTGCTGTTCTTTTACCATATATACAAACATATCTATGCTTCAGTGTGGTCATTAGGTTATGGAACAGGAGAAACAAAGTGTTCTTTAGCAGATCCAAACCTGTCCATTTTAGAATTGGACCAAGAATTACTTGCATTGCCTCTTTGATATGAATAACCATATTTTTTTGGATGTCATAGAAAAATCATGCTACAACATAATTTTTAATCTTTGTAAACAAGTTAAACTTGGAATAAGATCCTGAAAGTAATAGAGCGCTTCTTGAATGCATGGAACAAAAAAAGTTAGATATCTCAGAGTCAATATGTCATATTTTGAAAGTGGTGCACATGGATATGTATATCCTTGGTTAGTTTTTGTTCTGATTCTGTTGTATATGCTCTAGGAGTCTAAAAGAAGATGAGGTAGCGCTACTTGATTTCCTGTCAAATTTAAGTAATAGTCAAGCAATAATGCAATATTGGCCTTTTCTTTTTCCTGTATTACGTAGTGACCATGGAGTCAAAGCTCATGTCGATGGTCAATTACTGAATTTTTTGTTGAAAGAGACCATCTATCCAATGGAATTGACAGAAAAGACTCTCTCTAAATTTTTTAGCAAAAAAGACCCCCTAATCGTGGCGGCGGGCGCGACAGGTGACACCTGGCACCTGCCTCCACGGTGCGAGGCGGCAGGCTGCTCGTAACCAGAATCGAATGTAACAACGGAACGGGGCTGACGTGATGGGCCCTGCCGCCTCAGGAGCAGGCGACAACACTGTGAGATGTAGTGCAATATCACCTTTTTGCCTTGGTTTTACTACTTTCTAGTTTCCACCCATAAACAAACTGCCGCCTTCCACCTCGTGCAATCTCATGCATGTGAGATGCAGTGCAAGACCAGTTGTTACATGCATGCACGCACGTTCTGCTGTGCTAGTTGCTAGCTAGCTTAAACGTACTAATTATAATACAATATATTTCAAATTTAAAACGTACAGCTAGACTGAAAATTGAGTGTAGCCGCCAGCCCGTGAGGCGGCGAGCCCCAGCAGCTACAGTGTTGCCGCCAGCCACTGAGGCGGCAGGGCCCACCACGGCAGCTCCGATCCGTTGCGATTGCTGATTTCAGTTATGGGTAGCCTGCCGCCTGGCCCGGTGACGGCAGGGGCTGCCGCCTCGCATCGTGGCGGCATGTCACACCCTCGATGCGACTATATCTCCCACGTGTCGAGGCACGACTTAGAGGCATAATCGCATTGAAGGCATATGTCGCAAGTTAGGCAATCTTCACAACATCCCATGTAATATGATAATAAAAGGGGAGAGAACATAGTTGGCTTACACTTGCCACGTCAATCAAGTACATAAATAACATTACATCATCCAAACACTCATGGCCCGACTACGGCGCCAAAATAAAAGATAACCCAACAAGCGACAATGGTCCCGATCACCCCCAACTGGGCACCACTACTGATCATCAGGAAAGGAAACATAATAACATTGAGAGTCTTCGTCGAACTCCCACTTGAGCTCGAGCGCGTCTCGTGGAGCGGAATCATCAGGCCCTACATCTGGTGTGATAGTAATCTGTGAGCCACAGGGACTCAGCAATCTCGCACCCTCGCGATCAATACTATTTAAGCTTATAGGTAAGGTAAGGTAAATATAAGTGGAGCTGCAGCAAGCGACTAGAAAATATGGTGGCTATCTTATTCGCAAAAGAGAGCGTGAAGAGGAGGCAAAGCGCGAGCGAGAAACTAGAGAGCAACCTGTGCAAACATTACTCCAACACCGTGTCCACTCCCCGGACTCCGCCGAGAAGAGGCCATCGCAGTAATACACTCAGTTGACTCATTTTAATTAAGTTAAGGTTAAAGTTATCTACAACCGGACATTAACAAATTCCCATCTTCCCATAACCGTGGGCACGGCTTTCGAAAGTTCAAATCCCTGCAGGGGAGTCCCAACTTAGCCCATGACAACCTCTCACGGTCAACGAAGGAATAGACCTCCTCCCAAGACGTTCCGATCAGACTCGGTATCTCGGTTCTTCAAGACACTTCGACAGGTTAAAACAAGACCAGCAACACCTCCCGAATGTGCCGACAAATCCCGATAGGAGCTGCACATATCTCTTTCTCAGGGCACAATCGGATAAGCAATCCGTACAACTAAAACCAGCCCTCAAGTTTCCCCGAGGTGGCGCTGCAAGGGGCTCTAGATTGGACCAACACTCAGAGGAGCACTGGCCCGGGGGGGTTTAAAATAAGATGACCCTCGGGCCCCGGAAACCCAAGGGAAAGAGGCTAGGTGGCAAATGGCAAAACCAAGGTTGGGCATTGCTGGAAAAGCTTTAATCAAGGAGAACTATCAAGGGGTTCCCATTATAACCCAACCGCGTAAAGAACGCAAAATCCGGGAACATAACACCGATATGATGGAAACTAGGGCGGCAAGAGTGGAACAAAACACTAGGCGAGAGGCCGAGCCTTCCACCCTTTACCAAGTATATAGATGCATTAAGATAACAAGATAATATGATGATATCCCAACAAGTAAATAAATGTTCCAACAAGGAACGGCCTTCGATCTTCACCTGCAGCTAGCAACGCTATAAAAGGGGCTGAGCAAAGCGGTAACATAGCCAATCAACGGTTTTCTAGGACATGGTGGGTTAGAGGTTTGACATGGCAATTTGGGAGGCTTGAAAGCAAGTGGTAGGCATCGTAGCATTGGCATGGCAAAAGAGCGTGCAAACTAGCAAAGGATCAAAAGAGGCACGGATCACTAGGAAACAACATGAACATATGGCCATATGAGATAAACAGATCAAGGACTTAGTGGAATTGCTAAGTTCCTGAAATCAGAATTAACAAGTGCACTTTGCAAGCTTGTGCAAGTCACCACACACATCACAAAAATACATGGGTTGCACATCTGGAAAGATGACAAAACCCTTAACAAAACATATGTAGAGCATCAGGGCATAGCATGCGCACAATAATCATGGCAGAAATGACAAAAAGCTAAATGGAGCAGCAGATCTAACAATTATCTCAAGTAGCCCTCTTCTAACAGCATTTCGGGCATCAAGATGAACTCAAATGAAAATGATGCAATGGAATGAAATGATGTACTCTCTGAGATGAACATTTTGATATGCTATATGCCCAAATCGGAGTCACTGACGCAAAGATACGATGCTATGAACATGGGCACTTGGATATGGGATTTCGAGGACTTAGAAGAAAAACAACCTCCGGGAAAAGTCATCGCGGGACGGGCTCGACCCGGGACGGAGGGATCCGAGCGGGCAAGGGCGTTTGGTTCACCGTCTTGGTGGATCTGATCCAGCTTCGGCCCGAATCTCACCAGAGGGGAGGCGACGCCGGTGGCCGGCGGCGACGTCGGCGGGGAGGGCAGCACGGAGGCGCCGGGCGGCGGCCGGAGCACGCGCGGGAGCGGGTGCCCGCGGGAGGCGGTGGTGCGACGAGGCACTTGCGGCGGCGTGGCGAGGCACTAGCGGCGGTGCGGCACCGGCGATGGCGGCGAACGGCGGCGCGGGCAAAAGGCGGCGGGGACGGTGAGCGGGCGGCAGCGCGATGGGCGGCGCGCGAGTGGGCGCGGCGGCGGATGGTCGTGGGCCTCGGGGGCCCGACCTGGGCCTCCCGGGCCGGCGGCGCGCGACGAAGTGGGGCAGCGGCGCGGATCCAATGGAGGCGTGACACGTGGCAGCGGCGGCGGATCCGGACATGTCCGGCCGTCCGGATTTTGTCCGGCGGCTGGAGGAGGAGGGGAGCTAGGGTTTCGTCCGTGATTCGAATGGGGGGAGATATATATATAGGCATAGAGGGAGCTAGGAGAGTCCAAATGAGGTGCGGCTTTCGGACACGCGATCGTGATCGAACGCTCTAGATGATGGAGAAGGTTTAGGTGGGTTTTGGGCCAAATTGGAGGGGTGTTGGGCTGCAACACACACGAGGCCTTTTTAGTCCCTCGGTTAACCGTTGGAGTATCAAACGAAGTCCAAATTGTACGAAACTTGACAGGCGGTCTACCGGTAGTAAACCAAGGCCGCTTGGCAAGTCTCGGTCCAATCTAGAAATGTTTAATCCCCACACACGAAAGAAAGCTAGAAATGACCACCGGAGGAGAACGAAGCGCCGGAATGCAAAACGGACAATGGGGAAAATGCTCGGTTGCATGAGATGAACACGTATGCAAATGCAATGCACATGATGACATGATATGAAATTCATGACAACGATAACAACACACGGAGACAAAGACCCGAACCCGAAAAAATAAAATTACTTAACGCCAAAACGGCAAGAGTTGGAGTACAAATTGGGAAAGTTACATCCGGGGTGTTACAACACTCCACCACTACGAAAGGATCTCGTCCCGAGATCTAGGACTGAAAGAACGCCGGGTACTCAGAACGGAGGTGATCCTCGTGTTCCCAGGTAGCTTCACGGTCGGAATGGTGTGACCACTTGACTTTGAGAAATTTGATTGACTTATTGCGAGTCTTGCGTTCAGTCTCTTCAAGAATAGCAACTGGGTGCTCACGATAAT